GCCCCGGGCTGTTTAGTGCTGCCCCGGGGGGGTTAGTGCTGCCCCGGGGTGGTTAGTGCTGCCCCGGGGTGGTTAGTGCTGCCCCGGGGTGGTTAGTGCTGCCCCGGGGTGGTTAGTGATCCCGTCTGAAGAGTTAGTTTAGATAGTCACACGATCACTGGTAGGTATTCTCACCTTCCAGAATCACAGTCCGCCAGGGTGCAGGTAACTTTAGTAAGAAAAAGCTGCCGTCGCGTTTTTAAGCAGTTGCACGGTGTGTTTTTCAAGTCAGTGTTTGTGGGGGTTTTTTGTCAGGAAATGTAATAAATAATTTAGTAAGAGTATCGGGTCCTGCTTCGACGTTTGCAGGAGAATTGCAGGCTGAGTGGTGATGCATCCGTTCTGCATCTTAGAGTCATAGAATCATGGAATGGTGAAGATTGGAAGGGACCTTAACGACCATCAGGTCCCAACCCCCCTGCATGGGCAGGGACACCTCCCACCAGCCCAGGCTGCACAAGCCTCATCCAACCTGCCCTTGAACACCTGAAGGAGGGGGCTTCCACAACCTCCCTGGGCAATAATAGCTGCTGCAGTTTGCAATTTACTGCTCACAGCTGTTCCAGAGCAGCAGAGATGCAGATCCACGTGCTGCTGACCTCATGTTCTTGATACTATTGTGCACTTCATTTCTTGCAGCTGTGCCCTGTACTTCTCTTCCAGCAGTGATGATGATGAATTTGAAATGTGTAAGTAATTTTTTGTTCTCTGAAGGACTATAAGAAGGACGTATTTCTGTCTAGTTATAGTGAAGTAGTTTTTATGCATTATTTTATTGTTTCTGCTGCAAACTACTTCTCCTTGCAGAGCAGTGTTGGCAGCTGTTTGCCACAGTGAGTGCTCTTGAATCTCCTGTCTCACTCTTGGATAATTTTTGCCTTACATTGTTTTTTTTTCTTCTTGCCTCAGTTTTGTCTGTTTGCTGTCACTCACTTGCTGCCTTCTTAGTTTACAGAACGTCTTTGAATATTCATTTTCTCTAACCAGTTACTGTTCCAAACACATCTCTAAACTACTTGGAATTCCCTCTTCCATGTCATGGCTTTTGCTGCATGAGGTTTAACCAGTTGGAGGGATGGTTTTGGCATTTCATAGTGGCTCAAGGTCTTGTTAAGATGGAATTGAGTACTAAATTTCACATGGTGGCTTCTGCTGTGCTTCTGCTGTGCGTAGCTGCCTATCTTTATGTTTAGCCTGTACAAACAAAACCTGATACTGGTATTTTTCTTTGTGATGATATCTGTGTTGACTGTTGGGTTGTGCTAGGCTGGCTGAGTGCATGTGGGGGTTTTCTTCCTGTCATGAAAGCTCTGTTTAGCTTGTTTCTTAGATGGACTAATCATGGCTCTACCACATCTGAAGTGAAGAAAATATCAATAAATCCATTAAATTCCCCCACTCCTCAGTGATCCACATTTATGAGGAGGCTGTACTGGATGCCACAAGATACATAACAGAGCTGCTTACTTGGGCAAGGATTGAATAGTGGAGGAAATGCTAGACAGCTGCTGTCAGCTCTGAGGTTCATATGTAAGGGATTCTTACTTTTTTGTTGTTTTTTAAAGACTTCAGACTGAATTTTTACTGGTTGCAAGCTTATCTCTTAAGAAATATGTAACAAAAGAAACAGAACATTGTTCTTAATTAATCTTTTATTGTTTCAGTTTTAGCTAGGATGAAAACCCCCAAATCTGTTTATACAAAGGTGGATGCGAGGTGGGTGCTATAATTCATGACTCCTCAGTGTTTATATATTAACTTTCTGTATCACATCTACTATTCAGAATACAGAGATATGATCCAGAGTTCTAGTGGTTCACAGGCAGGTGCACAGGAGTGAGTACAGACTGAAGAACTGCTACGTGTTCCATCTGTACGTTCAGGTCAAATGTAAAATGGGATGTTTTGGGGTGTAGATGCTTTCTTGCCACTCCTATTAGTGGATGCAGTTGGTAACATTTGCTATGAGCAACTGATCATATTATACTCAGTGGCTTTTTTTTGTTTGCCCTTTTAGTGAGGCAAGCTTAGTCTGTTTTCCTTCTTATGCCTACCTTTTTTCACATTATTTGCTTGTTTTACAGTTTGAAGGACTTAAGTGATGACTTGGATGATTTCTTCTCGGACTTTAAAGTGAGAAAGAGCACAACAAAGAAAGGCAAGACAAACAGCAAATATGAAGCAGGAATTTTAATGGGTGGAAAGATAGCATTCATTGCTGAGCTCCTAAGTTCATGAGAGAGCTTGTTAAACATTAGATCACTTTGTCTCTTCCTTGAGGGGGAGGGTTTTCTGTTTCCTCTGGGAGTAACAGGAGCAGGGTCACACTGTTCTGACAAGTGCACATTTGGTAGCATTGCTGTGGGGCTGCAGATACTGTGGAGTATCTGCCAGTACTTGGGTCTGTGAAAGGAGTAGCATTGCATGGTTGATTAGACTGAGCTGCAAATGTGGGATGATCACTGTGGAGAGAGGACTTAAGAGATGTAAAACAGCATTCCTGGCTGTACCAGCTCATTCTGTGGCCAAAAGGCCCTGAGTAAAAACAGAAACCTTGTTAAGCTAGATACCTTTAATTTGATGCAGGTGTTGACAATCAGGCCAGTCTTGCCTAGGGTGTTGAAGAGCCACAGAATCCTTTAACTTGGAACTTCATTGGCCAAGGTCCTGTGTGTAGTCCTGTTAACACTGGCTACAAGATGCTCTGGCAGATCATGAGTGGAGGAATTTCAGTGCTTGTCTGAGCAGAGGATTCCTGTTTTCTTCCCAACTGATGGAAAGTTCCTTGGCTTACTGACATTCAGAGCCTTTCTACAGCTGCCTGGCACACTTCTTGATAGCAGCAAACTGGACTTTGCTAGAAGGAGTGAACAGGGCTCTGGATTTCATGACACAGCCACTAGAGAAGCAGTCAGATGATAGGATTCTAATAGATGAGGGCTGATAGCAGTGAACTTGTGAACCTGGAGCAGCTCTGACTCCTGATCAAGAAGGGTGGGATATCTTGCAGCTGGTGGAATGTCAACCCTGAAATATATGTGCCAGCTGCAGATTGTGAAAAGCTAATGGAATGGTTTCTGGAGAGAGAATGAGAAGCTAAGTGGACCAGGAGCTTCAATTAAAAAAAAAAAAAAGTCACTGATGGATCTGACATGATCCCTTGATCTTGAGAAGTGAAATCTGAGATGTCAGAAGCCTTGTTTTATTGGCAAGTCTGTGCTGTGTGCTGTAATGAAGAAATGTAATGAAGAAAATACAAAAGGATCTTTCTAGTCTTTGTGTGTTCCTATCTTCCAAGGAATTTTTTTTGTGTCAAGACAAAGGCAGGTCTAGATGAAACTACCAAAACTTTAAGCTGTTTCTTTCGAATTGCAGCACAGAAGGATCTTCAGACCCCAAAGAAGTGGATGACTCCTGGAAAGAGAAGCACTTGCTGTATAGAATTGCAGTATCCAGAGGCTTCAAGTGACATTGAAGATTCTGTCTTTGTAGAAAGTTCATGGCATGGCTACCAAAAAGGGGGAGTGAAAGACCTGAAAGAGAATTGGGGGTGCATAAAACTCCCACCTCCACAAAATCAAAAAGAGTCTGTTTCCAGAGGCAGCCCAGACTTGCTTGTGAGAAGGAAAGAAAAAAGCTCTGAAAAGAGGAAGGAGAATGAAGCATCAACTGTGGTGGCACGACACAGGACAGAGACAGGGTCAGACAGCTCTGATGATGAGTTTGAATCATTAATAGAAAGGATAAGGAAACAAAGTACACCCCGAAAACCCCTCCTAAGCACAAGTAAAACTGTCTACCAGCCAACCACAACGGGTAAGCAGTTGTTCTTAGCTGCTTGTTGGCAGCAATGATGGTGCTAATTGCCTTGTGTCCTTCATCTGTGTGTCATGCTTGAGAAGTGCAACCCAGAATCTTGCAGTTGGATTTGGTGCAGTCAGAAGGTTATTCCTCTGAGCATTCTGAAAAGTTATTCTGCTAGTCTTGTGGTATCCAGGTTGAAGTTTTTCACTATTGTTTGTTTTTACAATTACTATAATTGTAGGTATTTTTAGGTTTTAATTACATTTTTGAAATTTTGAGCAGATTAGATGCTGTTCATTTAGTATTTGGATTTATAATTTACTTCATTTAAAATACAGTGTATAAGGAGAATTTCCCAGCCTTCTCTCCTTTGCATAACTGAAGTGATCTCCAGCTGAGGGATTGCAAAGGGGGAAAAGGGCTATTACTGAGTAAGAGCACAAGAAAATAAATCCTCTAGAAGAGTAACCACAAGGTGCCTTCCTCACTAGTAAGGACTTAGTTCAGGGCAAGGGGATCTATAGAAGAGGAGAGTGACTGACAACATAGAAATATGTCCTGGGAAATGGCAACTTTATTATTATTTTTTTAATTAGAGTGTATCAATGGGGTTTAGAAGTGAGCTGGCAGCTGCATTGGCTTCTCTAGAAATGGTTGAATAGTAAAAAGACACAAGTGACCCAAACAGGGGAACAGTTCTAGAAAAGCCAGCAGAGAGAATGTCTCTGGAAACCGCAGATTTTGAAGTGGTCCTTGATTTCTGGTGTGAGGGTCAGTCCTTTCAGCAGTCTGTCCAGACAGGAAATGGGGAAATTGGCACTGTCTGATCAGAACTTGCCTCTGAAAGAAATGACAGGACTTATGGTAAATGACATAAGGTTGGAATGAATTTTTTGTTCTGATGGTGTTTGCATCACTGCTCCCCACTGCTGATGATGCATTTTGAATTGGTGAAATATCACAGAAATACCTGAGTGAGGTCACAAATGCTTTTGCTTCCAGTTCCTCCCAGGTGAGTGAAAGTTTGGAGTCTGCCACACT